AGGCGACGCAATGTATGTCGCACGCATGCAGAAAAAGCGGATGACCCGCAAGAAAAAGAACGTGGAGGGGGAGTCCGCCGAGGATACCTTTCCGGCCTTGATGGTGTCGAAGCAGGCGTCCTCTATTTTCTTGGCGTAGTCTTGCAGGCCCATGTGACGCAGCATCATCACCGCGCTCAGGAGCAGGGCGGTCGGGTTGGCCAAGTCCTTCCCGGCAATGTCGGGAGCGGTTCCATGAACCTACGAAGGGAAGGAGGCTCTTATCACGCCGACACTTCGCCTTAGCCATGATAAAGGGTCTTTTTTAAAAACACACACATTGGTACATCAGTGTTGGGAGCACACGACCTGCCAAGCTTCCCCTAAGCTGTGGAGTCTCGTGAGCAAAAATCCTACTTTGTGAGTGACGGGCATTAAAGCTGTGAACGAGCGATTTGGCTGCTGCATAAAAATCAGTCTGCTCTGGAGCCCCTCCTTCCTGAACCAAGACAAAAATGTGCGCGCCGGAGGCTAGAAAACTGTGAGCTGGCTCACGCTAAACTCAGCTTAGAGGGAACAGTGGTGACCTGGATATCACGGCAATTACACTGGCTAATGTTCCACTCCTGGGCCTGATTTAAGGTGTTGGTTTTGACCTTTGAAACCCTATGTGGCTGGGGACCCTCTAAGCTGTGGAATCCTGTGAGCAGAAATTCTACTTTGTGAGCTACTGGCATTAAAGTTGTGGGCCAGTAATTTGGCTGCTGCATAAATCAGTTTGCTCCAGAACCATCCTTCCTGAGCTGAGACAAAAATGTGTGAGCCGGAGGCTGAAAACCTGTGAACTAGCTCGCACTAACTAACTCAGCTTAGAGGGAACACTGGACCAGGGTTACCTGGACCGTCATCTCCTCTATGATCCCTGCCCAGGAATTGGGATCACAGGGAGAGGACCTCCTGACTGTCCCATCAATCATAAGAACAGAAGAGAAGCAAATGTTGGACCAGGCCAAAGGCCCATCCAGTCCAACACTCTGTGCCACACAGTGGCCAAAACCCAGGTGCCATCAGGAGGTCCACCAGTGGGGCCAGAATTCCAGAAGCCCTCCCACTGTTGCCCCCCCCAAGCACCAAGAGCATCCCTTGCCCCAGGCATAAGAACATAAGGCAAGCCATGTTGGATCAGGCCAATGGCCCATCCAGTCCAACACTCTGTGTCACACAGTGGCCAAAACCCAGGTACCATCAGGAGGTCCACCAGTGGGGCCAGAACTCCAGAAACCCTCCCACTGTTGCCCCCCCAAGCACCAAGAATACAGAGCATCCCTTGCCCCAGACTGAGAATTCCTATCTATACCTTGTGGCTAATAGCCACTGATGGACCTCTGCTCCACATGTTTATCCAATCCTCCTTGATTATCCAATCAAAGACGCTTGCTTGGTGGGTACACCAGAGAGGGCCTTTTCGGTGGTAGCCGCGTGATTATGGAACCGCCTCTCCAGAGAGATTCACCTGGGCCACTCACTTTCAATCTTCAGGAGGAAAGCTGAATACACCTTTATTTAGGAGTTCATTTAATTAAGGCAGCCCTAAGTCAGATGGTTTTAATGTTGTAAGCCGCCACGAGACCCTTTGGGTGGGTGGTGACTAAAAAAAAGATCTAATTAAATAAATAAGTAAATAAGTTGCGATTTTAAATTTTGGGTTTTTTTGGAACCTAAGTCAGATGGTTTTAATGTTGTAAGCCGCCACGAGACCCTTTGGGTGGGTGGTGACTAAAAAAAAATCTAATTAAATAAATAAGTAAATAAATTGCGATTTTAAATTCTGGGTTTTTTTGGAAAGTCCACTAGCCCCTTAGAAACCAAGAAGATATTCGGCGTATAACCTTTAGAGTCAAAAGTTCCCCGAGATTATATAGCCCAGATCTTGTTCGTCTCTAGGATGCTACTGGATTCGAATCTAGCTTTCCCAGAGTTGTGTTTCCAAAGAAGAGTGTCTTACCGATTCAAAGATGGCAACTCCGTTAGCACCAATGTTCCCGCTTGGCGTTACTCCGAGACCCCCGATCAGTCCTGCACACAAATCGCTGCCGGGGGTGGGGTGGGGAAGAAGAAGGCGAGCTGACAAGTTTGAAGATTGTACATGAAGGCATTCTAGCAGAGCATATTAAAAATCAGATTGCTGTCAGCAAGCTGGTATGGATGGAAAACAGGTCAAAGCTTTAGCTTTGTCTTTGGGTGATTATTTGTGTGTGTGTGAGGAGGAGGAGGAGGAGGAGGAGGATGAGAAGAAAAAGAAGAGGAGATTGGATTTATACCCCGCCCTTCACTACTCAAAGGAGTCTCAGAGCAGCTTACAAATTCCTTCCCCTTCCCCTCCCCACAACAGACACCCTGGGAGGTAAAAGAAGAAGAAGAGATTGGATTTATACCCCATGGCCCTTCACTACCCAAAGGAGCCTCAGAGCGGCTCATGAACTCCTTTTCCTTCCTCTCCCCACAACAGACACCCTGTGAGGTAAAAGAAGAAGAGATTGGATTTATACCCCACCCTTCACTACCCAAAGGAGTCTCAGAGCGGCTCACAATCTCCTTTCCCTTCCCCTCCCCACAACAGACACCCTGTGAGGTAAAAGAAGAAGAAGAAGAGATTGGATTTATACCCCGCCCTTCACTACCCAAAGGAGTCTCAGAGCGGCTCACAAACTCCTTTCCCTTCCCCTCCCCACCAGTGTTCCCTCTAAGGTGAGTTAGCGTGAGCTAGCTCACAGGTTTTTAGCCTCGGGCTCACACATTTCTGTCTTAGCCCAGGAAGGATGGCTCCACAGCCAACTAATTTAGGCAGTAGCCAAGTCACTCGCTCACAACTTTAGTGCCAGCAGCTCACAACGTAGAATTGTTGCTCACAGGACTCCACAGCTTAGAGGGAACACTGCTCCCCACAACAGACACCCTGTGAGGTGGGGCTGAGAGAGCTCTGACAGAAACGGCTTTTTCAAGGACAGCTCTTGTCAGAACTGCGGCCTGCCCAAGGTCATCCAGCCAGGTGCAAGTGGAGGAGTGGGGAATCAAACCCGGTTCTCCCAGATTAGAGTCCGCGCACTTAACCACGACATCAAACTGTGCTTGCGAGCCTGGAAGTTAGGGTGACTTCTTGTGGGGTTAGGACGTTTCTGAGAGGTGGCTTGACAACCTGCCTCTGCGTCATGGCCCTGGTATTCCTTGGAGGTCGCCCTTCCAAGTACTTGGCAGGATTGGCCACGCTTAGCTTCTGAGACCTGATGAGGCTGAGCTATCCAGGTCAGTGCACAGGCCGAAACTTTATCGATGACAAGAGAATGCAAGAGAAAGTCTGGGATCAGTTCATAATGGCTAAAATTACGGACTCCCTGATGAGAGCGAATAACAATAATGCTCCTACCTACACTAAATTTTTTAGGATTTGGGCTCCAGTGTTAGACTATATGGTAATGAATGATATACTCCCGGCTAAGCAGATTTACCATAAATGGTTATATTTGTAGAGTTTAGCAGGTAAACTCATGGTATAGCAATAGGGCTGTACGGTGCTCGGATAGATGTCTATTGTTAGTAATTATCTTAGATGCTATATGTAAAAAACTAGAACTATTAAGTATGTGTTGTATGTAATGTAATGTATTTTACAAAAACAATTAAAAAGATTTAATAAAAAAAGAGAGAGAATGCAAGAGTATCTAGCAGGCAGAGGGCACAGGCATGTACACCAATGAACTCTAATCTGGGCGAACCGGGTTTGATTCCCCACTCCTCCACTTGCACCTGGCTGGATGACCTTGGGCAAGCCACAGTTCTGATAAGAGCTGTTCTTGAAAAAGAGCCGTTTCTGTCAGGGTTCTCGCAGCCCCACCTACCTCACAGGGCGTCTGTGGTGGGGAGGGAAAGGAGTTTGTAAGCCGCTCTGAGACACATTTGGGTAGTGAAGGGTGGGGTATAAATCCAATCTCTTCTCTTCTTCTTACTGGCAAAGCCAGAAAACTGCATGCAGTAAGGGCAGGACAGGATGAAGGAATGAACAAGGCAGGGCTTGGGTATGCTTCTAAAAATCCCGCCATTCTCTATCCGGCTCTTATCTTCTTACCTCAGGATGTCTCCGTACAAATTTGGCATAACGAGGACATCAAACTGACTTGGATCTTGCACCATCTAAGGGGGGTGGGGGGGAAAGAGGCAGGTTGGTATCACAAGGGCACCCGGAACAGCCGCTATTTGTACACCTTAGCAGAAGTTCGTCATACTCACATTCAGACACACTGTGTCGAGATACATTTCGTTAAACTTAATGTCTTTACAGCTCTCCGCCGCTTCTCTGCATTTTTTCAAGAACAGGCCGTCGGACATTCGCCTGCAAATGGACAGATAAGAAGCAATTTGATTGGACAGGGTGGCTTGTCGAGGATCCCGGCTCGATACAGACCTCAGGATCTAACCCGGCTCCGTACAGACCTTGGGATCAGTCAGTCAGTCAGTTTTTATCCGGTGCACAACCAGCACAATTCAGTTACAATAGTTTAAAATCTCTAGGGTTCATTCATAAAACATTTATAGACCCATCTGCACTCATATCAGTCTTATCTGTGACCCTTTGGTTGAACTACACATAAATACTTATAGAATACATTATGGACAAATAAAATGAAATCCATCCAATATACTTCCTATTTTGTCTGCTTGTGTTGTATGTAATGAACAATAATAATAATAATAATAATAATAATAATAATAATTCTTTACTTGGTCCTTACGAATTCTATAAGCCATTGCAAAAAACCTGGCACAAATTAGAGAGAGCTGAGGATTGGAATCAAATAGAAACTTCTTGTTTACCTCCATATCTGAGCAGCCAAGGAACTTCCCTAATATGGCTTGAAAAAACTTTATTCAAGTTTCTTTATAGCATACACAGTGCAATAGTATGTGCGCCATTGTCTAGTCCTCGGGATCTAACCCAGCCCCGTACAGACCCCGGGATCTAACCCACTAGGGCAGTGGTGGCAAACCTATGGCACGGGTGGCAGAGGTGGCACCCAGAGCCCTCTTTGTGGGCACGTTTGCCATCGCCCCAGCCAGGCCCAGACCATAATTAAAGCGTCGAATTCTTTGCCAAATAATTTTACGTATATGAAAGCATTTGGGATTGCTTTCCTTACTTTGTTTGGATCACTTTAAGTTAATGTATGAGTTGTTTTTTCTAAAGTAAAACCTCAGCATTCAGTTTAAATTGCCGTGTTGGCACTTTGCGATAAATAAGTGGGTTCTGGGTCGCAGTTTGGGCACTCGGTCTCTAAAAGGTTCGCTATCACTGCACTAGGGTGAGTGGGGTTTTCGGTGCCAGGAGTGACCAAACAAAAACATGGCACCATGATTCGAGTCCGCCCCTTCAGAAGGCATAGCGGTGCTCTCAAGCTACTCTTTTAAGAGAGGCCGACTTGTTTCCCTAGCCATTACTTATGAAAAGTTTGCATTTAAGCCAAGCACAATCCGTCTCGACTCGGTCCCATCTTAAACTTTAGTGGTCTGGCAGAGGGGATTACTTTTTTTTAAAAAAAAGAGGAAAGTGGGAGAATGGGTTATAAAACAAAACCAAAAAGAAAAAGGGTGCTTGATTGTTATTGCAGAGTTAGGTTATTTCAGTGCTGAAAGACAAGGTATTGAAACTTGGGTCAACTGGACGCACTCAGTTCTGGAAATTGTGTGGCCAAAACCCCCCCCAGCACGCGCTCCTTCATTAATGCAAAGTATTTTGAACATTTAAGAGTGTGGTCACTCGGATAACGGCCACCTACATAATGTTTGCTTTGTGCACGGCCGTCACTTTGCTCCTGTGGTTGTTCCTGGCGTACTCAAAGGCAAAGTTCGCGATACGCCGGCTGGCTTCTTCCGTGATGAGCTTGATACTCTGCACGACGCCTTCGACGATCTGAAATGGACACGGTGGTTGCTTGGCTAAGCCGAACTGTGAGAGGCAGGAGGCCATCCCAGAAGGCTCAGCTAACCAGCAAGACCTTCAGCGCACGAATCAAGTGTTACTGTTCGTCTGCTCGAGCGATTGCTAGCTCTGCCAGGCAAAATGGCAGACCTTTTCCGATCTTTTAAGGCAGGGGTCCCTGACCTTCTTGAGCGTGTGGGGACCTTTGGAATTCTAACAGAGGGTGGTGAGCGCAACCACAAAATGGCCGCCACAGGAGGCTGAGGAAGCCCACGTGCGGAGGACAAGAGGTGTCATTGTTTTAAAAAATACACCGGGATAAAGGAGTGTGGGAAAGGTGTTGACCTTTAAAGCCCTATATGGCCGGGGGCCTGCCTACCTGAGGGACTGCCTTTCCCCACATGTTCCCCAGAGAGCATTGAGGTCAGGGACCCAAAACCGGCTGACTCTACCTGGACCAAAAGATGCCAGATTGGCCATCACCAGAGCCACGGCCTTCTCAGTGGTGGCTCCACACTGGTGGAATGAGCTCCCGGAAGACATCAGGGCCCTGCGGGACCTTCTGCAGTTCCGCAGGGCCTTGTAAAATGGAGCTCTTCCGCCAGGCCTTCGATTAGGAGCCGCCACTGATGAACGAGCTACAAAAAATTGATCTATCACGGCCCACATGTTACCGGCATTACGAACCACCGGGGATACTGGTCTAGTTATACTGGACCATCTCACAACGATGGCCATCTGCACTCAATCTGCACTTTGTATATTACTGTTCGGAATAGTTTGTGGAATTTTATCTGTGTTTCATCGTCGTTCTTAACCCATTCTACGCCGCCTTGAGCCTCCTGTCAGGCAAGGCGGGATATACATTGAAATAAATAAATAAAGACAAATATCAAGGTGGCAGCCGCCGCCGAAATGACGTTATTTTAACCTGCACAGCCCATCAGATCTGCAATGACCAATCAGAAGCCCTTATGGGGGGTAGGAGCCCCACCCACTTTCTAAAGACACTTGGGGGGGCCACATCACCCATGGGCACCACGTTGGGGACCCCCCTGTTCTAAGGAAATAAAACCCAGCACGGATACGCTGCCTCCGCTCTACAGACGTACCACGTGCTCAATGCCGCTGTATTCGCCTTCCGTGTTCTCTCGTATTGTGACTATGTCGACGTCTGTGTAAGGGGTTTTGTAGCCTTCTATCGACACACAGGGGCGGATGTTTGCGTAAAGGTCGAAGGTTTTGCGGAGCAGCAGGTTCATGGATGGGTGGCCGGCGGCGATGGGCGTTTTCAAAGGGCCTGAAGCAGAGAAGGGAAGTGGGAAGGCGTCAGCTTAGAGCGCAGAGATGGGGAAACCGTTTGTGATGTAGCCAGGACATTCTTTACTCTCAATTTGTATTTAATTCCTTGTCTCCCCCACAAACACTATCCAGTGAAAAACTGGGGAGTGGCAATGGCTCAGTGGTAGAGGTTCTGCTCTGCATGCAGGAGGATCCAGTGTGCTAGTCTGGTGTGTCGAACTCATTTGTTATGAGGGCCGGATCTGATATAAATGAGATCTTGTTGGGCCGGGCCATGTGGGTCATAAAATGTAATGCCAGGTAGCAGAGATATAAACTTTATAAAGGACACAAACACAAAGATTTTAACTTAAAATAAAAACATGCTTAAAACATTAGCTCTGTAAGCTGCAAACCTGCTTTTGATTTACTGACATTCACCACCGAGATCTCCTGCTCAGAGTTCTGAGTCTAGGACCCAGGTCAAAACATGAAATGGCTGAGCGATTGAGAGAGTCTGGCTAAGCAAGCTGTGATGCAGCAGCAGAACTGGAAGCAGGAGATGGCCAGTTCCACTGTGGGCCTGATGGAAGCCCCCCGGGCCACATGTTTGACACCCCTGGAATAGTGTGATGCGGTGGACAGTGTCTCGGACTAGGACTGGGAAGACCTGGGTTCAAATCCCCGCTCAGCCCGAAGCTCACTGGGTGAGTCGCACTGTTCCCTCTAAGCTGAGTTAGTGTGAGCTAGCTCACAATTTTTTTGGCCTCTGGCTCACACATTTTCATTTTAGCTCAGGAAGGATGGGGCTCCAGAGCAAACTCATTGATGCAGCAGCCATATCGCTCGCTCACAGCCAGAGGTCATTTCGGGGGGGAACGCGGGGGAACACAGTTCCCCCGGGTGAGGTATGGGGGGCGGGGCACATGACGAAGCCCCGCCCCCTGCTTCCGGCCCTCATTCAGCCAGGAGGAGGCAGGAGAAGAGGGAGGGTAAGTTGCTTCCTTCCTGCCTCTCCCCCCCCGTGCCTGCCTGGGGCCAGGGAGGGCCTTCGCGGGGCTTCCTTGCACTCCTGCCGGTCTTGCAGGTCCACCGTCGGGCCCCTCATGGGGCTCAGCAGTGGAGCTGCAAGGCCGGGGGTGGCGGCTGGGACCATTGGGGGCGGGGTGTGTGGCCTTATGACACATTTCCGGTGATGTCAGGGGGTGTGGCATATGCTAATGAGTTATGCTAATGAGTTCCCCTAGCTCTTTTTCTACGAAATGACCCCTGCTCACAACTTTAATGCCAGGAGCTCACAAAATAGAATTTTTGCTCACAAGACTCCACAGCTTAGAGGGAGCATTGGTGACTCGGGGCCCGTCCTCCTCTCTGAGTCTGACCGATACCAAATGTTCTACAGCATCAACTCCGAAGTACCTTTCAGTCCTATTTTATTCTTGTCCATGGAATCTTTGGCATCTTGAGGGATCATCCATTTCCCTCCGGGCCCTTGAATCGCCGTCACGATTCTCTCTTCGAAGTCAACGGGAGCCTAAACACAATGGTTTTATATTAACTTCAGAGACGGTTTGGGGAGAAATGGACAAAGAGTCATCAAAGAGATTTTTTTCCCCTCCAGAGCCCCTGGGATTTCACCTACCCTCCATAAAACAATCCCCAGAGTAATGTTTTCAGGACAAATGATGGGAACTTTCGCATACAGACCTAAGCTAGGAGAGGCAGCCTGCAGGAATACACCAAAGGAATTTGGTGTTTGGATTGGCCTCCCCTCAGGACTTCAGAATCACCCACACAGGAATATTGAGGAATTTATTGGTTGGCATGGGCTCCCCTGAGGGCTTCAGAATTGCCCTCACAGGCACATTGAGGAATTTACTGACTGGCTTGGCCTCACCTCAGGGTTTCAGATTTGCCATCAAAGGCATACTGAGGAATTTATTGGCTGGCTTGGCCTCCCCTCAGGACTTCAGAATCGCCCACACAGGAATATTGAGAAATTTATTGGTTGGCATGGGCTCCCCTGAGGGCTTCAGAATTGCCCTCACAGGCACACTGAGGAATTTACTGACTGGCTTGGCCTCACCTCAGGGTTTCAGAATTGCCATCAAAGGCATACTGAGGAATTTATTGGCTGCCTTGGCCTCCTCTCAGGGCTTCAGAATCGCTATCGCAAGAATACTGAGGAATTTATTGGCTGCCTTGGCATCCCCTCAGGGCTTCAGAATCACCCTCACAGGCACATTGAGGAATTTACTGGCTGGCGTGGCCTCACCTCAGGGCTTCAGAATTGCCATCACAGGCATATTGAGGAACTTAATGGCCAGCTTGGCCTCACCTCAGAGATTCAATTGCCACCACAGGAATATTGAGGAATTTACTGGCTGGCTAGGCCTCACCTTAGTGCTTCAGAATAAGCATACAGGTTTATTGAGGAATTTACTGGCAGGCTTAGCTTCACCTCAGGATTTCAGAATTGCCATCACAGGCATATTGAGGAACTTAATGGACAGCTTGGCCTCACCTCAGGGCTTCAGAATTGCCATCAAAGGCATACTGATGAATTTATTGGCTGGCTTGGCCTCACCTCAGGGCTTCAGAATTGCCATCACAGGCACATTGAGGAACTTAATGGCCAGCCAGCTTGGCCTCACCTCAGAGATTCAATTGCCACCACAGGAATATTGAGGAATTTACTGGCTGGCTAGGCCTCACCTTAGTGCTTCAGAATAAGCATACAGGTTTATTGAGGAATTTACTGGCAGGCTTAGCTTCACCTCAGGATTTCAGAATTGCCATCACAGGCATATTGAGGAACTTAATGGCCAGCTTGGCCTCACCTCAGAGATTCAATTGCTATCACAAGAATACTGAGGAATTTATTGGCTGGCTTGGCCTCACCTCAGGGTTTCAGAATTGCCACCACAGGCATATTGAGGAACTTAATGGCCAGCTTGGCCTCACCTCAGAGATTCAATTGCTATCACAAGAATACTGAGGAATTTACTGGCTGGCTGGGCCTCACCTCAGGGCTTCAGAACTGCCACCAGAGGCATATTGAGGAACCTAATGGAAAGCTTGGCCTCACCTCAGAGATTCAATCGCTATCACAGGAATATTGAGGAATTTACTGGTTGGCTTGGCCTCACCTCAGGGCTCCAGAATTGTCAACACAGGCATAATGAGGAAGTTACTGGCTGGCTAGGCCTCACTTTAGGGCTTCAGAATAATCATACAAGTGTCTGGAGAAATTTACTGGCAGGCTTGGCTTCACCTCAGGGTGTCAGAATCCCCATCACAGGAAAATTGAGAAATTTACTGGCTGGCTCGGCCTCACCACAGGGCTTTAATCCAAAATTTAAAAGCCTTCAGAATCAGTGGCTTCACTTCAACCCAACAGGAACAGATTCACTCAGCACTCCTCATCTAAATTTAAACTTCTGGATGCTCCAGCCAGTGACCTCTCTCTCAGAGGTCTTAGTTTACAGCCACCTGGGGAATATCAGTTTTTGCAAGAAGTTTTTACAGTTTAGCTTGGGCCTCTGGAAGGGTTGCAAGGGGAAAGCCCTTCCAGACTTTATTACTATTATTTTGGCATCACCCACTATGACTGAAACATTATTGCTTGCATTTATATATTGTCGCTTTTTGGTCATCCTTTTCATCCCCCCGCCATCTGATTTTATAGCAAACCGTTTGGGGGGGGGGGGAGGAATCCGGCTCGCATTGCTCTGTAAAGGATCACACACAATGAAGGGTTGCTATCCAAGCACAAATGAACACATTTATTTATATTTCTATCCCACCCTACCTCGCAAGGGGGCTTGGGGCGGCTCACAACACATAAATACATCAGTTTAAAAGATTAAACCATAATACAGTAAAAATAAAAATTCAGCTCTACGGATAAATCAGCAGACGGTGGTAATCCAATTTAGAGAGAGCCAGTTTGGTGCAGTGGTTAGCAGCGCGGACTCTAATCTGGGAGAACAGGGTTTGATTCAGTTACAAGTTCTCTCAGGAGCAGTTCTCAAAAGAGCTCTCTCAGCCCCACCTACCTCACAGGCAGTGTTGCCTCTAAGCTGAGATAGTGTGAGCCAGCTCACAGTTTTTTAGTCTCTGGCTCACACGTTTCTGTCTTAGCTCAGGAAGGATGGCTCCAGAGCAAACTACCAGTAATTGACGCAGCAGTCAAATCGCTCGCTCACAATTTTAATGCCGGTAGCCCACAAAGTAGGATTTTTGCTCACAAGACTCCGCAGCTTAGAGGGAGCATTGCTCACAGGGTGTCTTTTGTGGGGAAGGGAATGGAGTTCGTTAGCCGCTCTGAGACTCTTTCGGGTAGTGAAGGGTGGGGTATAAATCCATCCTCTTCTTAAATGCTTTCAGAGACTTTAACCCCTGTATGGGCGCTCAGATGTACTAGTTTTTGCAAGTGGACAAATTCCCACCAATTCATATGTAAGAGTATCGATGCATATCACGGTAAATAGAATGGGTGGGTAGGGCGGGGGGTGGTGGTGTCTCATATGGTGTCCGCCGCCTCAACCAAAGGCCTGAAGAACAGCTCTGTTTTACAGGCCCTGCAGAATGGTTGCAGATCCCGCAGAATCATCCACACATACCACATTCAAATCTTGTCAGAAAACTCCACAAGTGTTGGATATATACCGCTGCTTACTACGCCACCAAAATATCTGAACTGAAATTGAAACATGCTGCATTGCTGTGCAATGTTCCTTTCCTCCCTGAACGTTAAGGAAAGAATGATTCACAGCATGAGAAGCACAAGCCGCATGTTATGATTCCAAAATCTGCCGACTGCTCCAGAGTCATCCATTGCTCTGAAAGCCACTACTCTCTCTGTCCGGGGAAACAGCTGTTCCCAGATGTGACAATCCTCCCCCCAGAATGAAGAGATCCTCGCTCTTCAGAACCACTCCTTCAAAACAGTTTCAGAGGGTAGCTTCATTGCTCTGCCGTAGAGGAGCTGGATTCGACTCCAGTAGCCTCTTAGAGACCTGCAAGATTTTTGGGGTAAAAGCCTTCTCCATTCTAACTCACATCTGATGAAGCGAGCTTATACCCTGAAAATCTCATTGGTCTTTCAGGTGCTACTGCTTGTGGACTCAAATCTAGTTGTTCCCCTTCAAAAGACCTAGCTGTGTTTTCAAGTCTACCTGTCAACCATGCCTTGGTTGCCATGGAGATGTGTGTGTGGAGGGTGAGAACGAGAATGTCTACTTTCGTTTCTGGCCGCTATACTGCTATCTGTACCATGTAACCTTGAGACCTAACTGTGTCTGGTATCCTCTTTCCCCTGAGAACTGCATACCGTTATTCCAGCGGGCTTTCTAGCTTAGGTGCGATTGGCCAAGAGTCATTAGTGACTTGTTTAACTTTAGTGTAATTGCTTGCTTCGCATGCTTGTCCTCAGTCCTAACAAAGAATTGTTAAGAGTCTGGATCCTATCAATGTCTCGATAAACTTTAATTCTCCCAAATGACTGTTATTGGGAAATGATTTCTCCAGGGGCTCTGACAGAACCCCACTAAGTGAACAACTCTTCGCAGCGTTGGAAAGGACAGGGGCAACACAATTTAATCAGAGAGCGGCTTACGGCAGCAGCGTCGAAAATCTTCATGACGGCGTCCGAAATCTCCGGTCCGATGCCGTCTCCGGGAATCAAAGTGACTGTCTGCGTCTAGGTTTAAAAAATGAAAACCCACCAGATGTTATGACTGAACCTGTAAAATACAATATAGCCAAACATTCTTCTTCATTTTTGAAAAAAGACTTTACAACGTTATATGTGCACTTAGAAGTACGAAGTGTGTTGATGGCAAATGGAAACTGGCTGTCCTTCCCCTGTTGTGTATACATTCTAGACTTATTTATTTATTTGATTTGATTTATGACTTGCCCTCTCCTGCTACTGCAGGGCTCCAGGCAAGTAACTACGTTCTTACAACAACTATAAGTTAATTATGAAAACAATTCTTAAAATACTAATCATAACAGTTTGGTGTCGTGGTTAAGTGCGCGGACTCTAATCTGAGATAACCAAGTTTGATTCCCCACTCCTCCACATGCAGCTAACCCTAACCCTAACCCTTGGGTCCAGTGTTCCCTCTAAGATGAGTTAGTGTGAGTCAGCTCACAGTTTAAGCCTCCGGCTCACACATTTTTGTCTTCACTCAGGAAGGATGGCTCCAGAGCAAACTAATTGATGCACCAGTCAAATCGCTCGCTCACAACTTTAATGCCAGTAGCTCACGAAGTAGAATTTTTGGTCACAAGACTCCACAGCTTAGAGGGAACATTGTCACAAGTTCCCTCAGAGCTGTTCCCTCAAGAGCAGTTCTCGGGAGAGCTCTCTCAGCCTCACCTACCTCACAGGGTGTCTGTTGTGAGGAGGGGAAAGGAGATTGTCAGCCACTTTGAGACTCCAAGTGAAGGGCGGGGCATAAATCCAATTTCTTCTTCTTCTTCAATTAGGGTATAAGATGCCTAGTTTTAGTAATGCATGTGGCCTCAGATTCTGGCAAGCTTTGCTCTGTGTGTGTGCGTTCGAGGCCCGGTGGAGAGATGATTAGCCTGCATTTGCTGCAAGTCTGATCCTTTAGTAAAAATCTCCTTGCAAGCAAACCTGGATCTCATGTATTGTTTTCTTGGGATTTCTGTTAACCAGAAGCTTCTGGTCACTGCTCTGTTACAATTACCCTGAGCTCTCCATATCCCGAAAGCTAAGCCGGGTTAGCCACGGTCCGTACTTGGATGGGAGGCCACTCAAAAAGAATCAGAGAATCACAGAGTTGGAAGGGACCAGTGCTCCCTCTAAGCTGTGGAGTCTTGTGAGCAGAAATTCTACTTTGTGAGCGAGCGATTTGGCTACTGCATAAATTAGTTTGCTCCGGAGCCCTCCCTTCCTGAGCGGAGACAAAAATGTGTGAGCCGGAGGCTAAAAAACTGAGCTAGCTCACACTAACGCAGCTTAGAGGGAACACTGGAAGGGACCTCCAGGGCCATCTAGTCCAACCCCCTGCACAAGGCAGGAAATTCACAAATACCTCCCCCCCCATACCCCCCAGTGACCGCTGTTCCATGCCCGGAAGATGGCAACCCCCTCCCCCCCAAACCCTCCAGGATCTCTGGCCAAACTGACCTGGAGAAAAATGGCTTCCTGACCCCAACATGGCGATCGGCATTTCCCCGGGCGTGTGAGAAAGGGCCACGAGAACTAAGCACTGAGGCAACCCTCCCTGCCCTCCCTCTCGTGATCTGCCTCGGTTCATAGAAATCAGCACTGCTGCTCTGCAAAGGAAGGCCATGGCCAAGCCACCTCTGCTCATCCGTTACCTAGCAAACTCCATAAGGGGTCACCGTTGAGGCAGCTGCAACTTGATTATTATTAATTACAGTGTGTGAAATGGGCCCAAAGACTTCTTCGGGACTCTGCTTCAGCCCGTATTTCGTACGCATGCGCCAAGCGAGTATCCGAAGCAGGATATGAGCGGGATAAACAAGCACAAAAGGAAGCCTATAGAGTTACAGATCAGATCGCAACACTACACGGCTCGTGGGGGGGAAAGGAGACCACTGGGAAATGCCAGCTATGCCAAACCCGGCATGTCCGACATGCCTGGCACCAACACGGCTGTTGATGTGTAGTTCTTTAAAAAAACACACACAAACCAACAGAAGAAAAGAGTCAGTGTAAGAAGCAGAGCCGTATATTCCAGATAGCGAGAAGCTCAACATGCTGCCAGTTCCTTACAGGAAATATTTCAAAATGATGATGCAGAAGATTAGAAGGTTCTCAATCTCTTTTCCCTCCCTATCAATTTGCCAGCCCCAAACCCGAATTTAAGCTGCAGAGTAGATGGTACTCAAATTATGTATGCAAAATATTCGGTGCGTTAGCTGTCTCATTTTATCGGGGCGCTTTTAGTATAATTAAAGAGGATTTCCCTGCCCCCCCAATGGGAAACTACAAACAAATACCTATACTCAACTTAGGCTGGCTTGTATTATCAGTTTTGAAACATGTTTTAACTAAGGAAGGGTATTTTCAGATTAAGGTAACTGATCCGGGAATAGCTCAGAGTGTGTTTTACTCAGTGCCTTGAGAAGCTTCTTGAAAAAAAATAAAAATGACTCATATACTCACAGTACTACCAAAACGTCTGGTCACCTGTTTTTGGAATTTGAACCCCTCTAGTAAACGAAAGACCTGTAAAACAATGCAACAGGAGGAGAGAAATACCAGGATTTTAGACAAGGGGAAGCAAACAAGAATCCGTGAGTCTAGTAACACTCTATTTACCGATGCACTTAAACTGATCAGTGTAATAGCTTAGACGAGGGGTGTCAAACATGCGGCCCGGGGGCTGGATCAGGCCCCCGGAGGGCTTCTGTCAGGCCCGCAGTGGAACTGGCTGTCTTCTGCTTCTTCTTCCAGTTCTGCCACTGCTGCGTCATCGTAGGTTTGCATCTTACAGATACACACCTGAGCAGCATACTCAAGATTGCAACAGCACAGGCACTTTGATGCAATAATTCAAAGCAAGAGGTGTCAGTTATCAGATACTGTTAAATAGACAAAATATTGCAAGAATGCTAGTGTTTTAAGCATGTTTTACTTAAAGTTTAAACAAATCTTTAATTGTGTTTGTGTCCGTTATGGAGTTTATATCTCCGCTACCTGGCATTACCTTTTATGACACACATGGTCTGGCCCAACGAGGTCTCATTCAGATACGGCTCTCGTAACAAATGAGTTTAGACTCTGTACAAATACGTTTTTTAAAATTATATGGTCACAATGCATGTATCACACTGCAGGTGAGAGAGACAAGCAGGGGACACTGATACACTGAATGGAGCTGCGTGTTTGCTTTTCCTAAACGGAAGGACCACAAGCTGCTTTTTGACAATTCCAAGCTCAAAAAGCAGCATGGAATGTGGGAGACGAGGATTTCTATTTATAAAGTTTTTGAGGACATGAGACCCTGAAACTACAGTAATTACACTGTCTATGGATTCGTTCCCAAGCCCAACTCGAGGTGTTGGATTTGGTCTTTAAAGCCCTACGTGGCTTCAGACCAGGGTGTCTTGAAGGGTCGTCCTGCCATCTGTCTCTGCCAAGGAATCGGGATTACAGGAAGAGGCCGTCCTGACTGTCCCATCTATCAAAGCAGCTCTCTATTATGCCATTAAAGGTCTCTCTCTCTCAAAGAAGCTCTCTTGCTGAGCACACAAAACAGGGCCTTTTCCATGGCAGCCCCACAATTCTGCCCAAGGAGTTGCATCTTGGCCCCCTCACTTTCATTCTTCAAGAGGCAGCTGAAGATGCTTTTATTCAAAACTGCATTTGATTAAATTGGTGATTTTTAAATTTCGGTTTCATGTATTTTTAATAGTGTGCTCTATGTATTTTAATTATTTTGTTAAGCCGCCTTATGAGCTCCGTAAGGAAGACTTGTGGCCAATGTTCCCTCTAAGCTGAGTTAGTGTGAGCTAGCTCACATTTTTTTTAGCCTCTGGCTCACAGATTTTGGTCTTAGCTCAGGAAGGACGGTTCCAGAGCAAACTGATTTATGCAGCAGCCAAATCACCTGCTCACGACTTTAATGCCAGTAGTTCACAAAGCAGAATTTTTGCTCACAAGACCCCACAGCTTAGAGGGAACATTGCTTGTGGCTAATATATGTTTGAAACAAATTTTTTAAAAAAGCAACGGATGCAAACACATTATATACTTCGTTAAGGCATATAGTTAAACTACTCCCTTGATTCCCCACAGAATCTCATCTTGGCATTCACCTGTCAAACATCAAAGTTCATATAACGAGGGGGGGGGGGAACCTTCTCTAAAACGAATGACGCTACCAAAAATTCGGTTACCCCGAGTAACTGCACGGTGCACACAACATACTGCCTTGACAAAGAGCATTACCACTGGGATCAGCACCACCCACACGTCTCAGCTGCTTACGAGTGCTTTCTGATGCTCTCAAAAAGTATCCTAGTAACCGATAGAAAAGGATATGGTTTCATGATCTAGCTGTTTTTTCGAGTTAGTTTTTTTGAGTTGCAGAACCCATCCTCCTATATAAGCGACACGGTGTGGTGGTCAACACCACCAACCATGTAGGTATGTACACAGAGGTGTACAATTTCCAGGAATTTTGAAGGCGTGTGTGTGTGTGTGGGAAATTAAACAGAAAAAAAGAACCCAAACAAGAATCTTTCTTATCAAGGCTCAAATAATGCTCAAATAATGCCACCATTTTAACGAGGCTAAGATTCATTATTTATAACTGAACCCACAATAACGTCCTATTTGACACGTTGATGAAATTCACATGTTATAAATACAAGGAAAATTGCAAACAGACCCAATACTAGAGAGAGATCATGGTACTACCTGCTTCAGTCCTATGCACATGTATCTTAGCTTAGCTTCAGTCCTAAGCACATGTATCTTAGCTTTTGCCATCTGATAATGAAAAATAAAAGATAAGAAACACCAGTTTTGTAGTAAATAATTATATATGCACTATTTGGTCCAAAACTGCCTCACACAGTTGTAACAAGACTAGAAGATTACCTGAACATCAAGTCTGTTTCACTGAAAACAACAAACTATTAAATATTGTGTATCCTCATCAAGCAGGGCTGCGGTGGCTCAGTGGTTAAGACGCTGAACTGCAGACCGGAAGGTCAGTAGTTTGGCAGTTCGAGACGGGAGCTCACTCCGTCATGCGGCGCACTCGGGTCTAGAACTGCTGAATGACCGACCTTCCACAGCCTGCAGTTCAGCGTCTTAACCACTTGAGCCACTGGAGCTCCTTTAAATATCACCCCCATTTCCCCAAGTTTCTCTGCAAAAGTGGAGAGGCTCAGGGAAAAGGGGGGGGGCTGTCTGCCTGCCTTCCCCTTCCCCAGCCAACCCGACGCCTGGGCTTGTTACTCCCAGAATGCTGTTCCGGGTCGTTCCCCCTCGAAATGACCCCTGCTAACCACCTTCTGATCAGCCCCTTGGGGTAGCTTGACAACCCTACAAGCATAAAAGCCAGAGGAGAGAATCCCTATTCTGTTCTGTCAATTTCCAATCACAATATCTTCCCTCCAGCCTCATAGGTGTCAACAAGAAACTGACTAGCACAGACTAGTCAATTTCACGGGGGGGAGGGGGGATAAAGTAAGTTCCTTCTGTTTTTCAAAGGACTACAAAGCTAATCGTGACTATAAATGAAGCTCCAAGAAGGACTCTGGGCACAGAGGGCAGGAAAGGAATGTGTGAATTCCGAAGGCCTCTGCGACAACCGCCCCAAAATGTTCAGCAGTCTGTCTGCAATAGCGGGAAACCGGTTTCAGAAGACTGGCTTTGGAGTACAGTGTAAAGCCAGCAAAACCAGTCTGAACAAAGACTTTGGAAGCTTGGAAGCAACGATCCATGTAACCACAGCCAACGAGCTCTCTAAGATTCCACCTCTGAGGCGCAGGAAAAAGAAGTATAGCTGGTGAACCTCCCAAAGAGAAGATTGAATTTATACCCTTCACCACCCAAAGGAGTCTCAGAGCGGCTCACAAACTCCTTTCCCTTCCCCTCCCCACAACAGACACCCTGTGAGGCAGGTGGGGCTGAGAGAGCTCTGAGAGAAACTGCTTGTGAGAGAACAGCTCTGAGAGAACTTGTGGCTGACCCAAGGTCACACCAGCAGCTGCATGTGGAGGAGCAGGGAATCAAACCCGTTTCTCCAGATTTGAGTCCGCTGCTCTTAACGCCTAAGAACCAGGATGGAGGCTTACAACTGGCTTACAATCTCCTTTTCCCTTCCCCTCCCCACAACAGACACCCTGTGAGGCAGGTGGGGCTGAGAGAGCTCTCTCAAGGACTGCTCTTGAGAGAACAGCTCTGAGAGAGCTTGTGACTGACCCAAGGTCACACCAGCAGCTGCATGTGGAGGAGTGGGGGATCAAACCCGGTCCTCCCAGATTAGAGTCCGCACTCCTAACCACTACACCAAAGCAAGCCAGATGCTGAAATCACTGGGTTACAGCAATCTGACTGATCGCCCCAAGGGAAACTCAACCTAGAGCGGCACGGCAGAAGCTAAAAAAAGGCTAGATCATTAAGACAAGAGGGCAGAGAGCCATCTCGTGTCTAATCTTGGACATCCAAGTAGGAGCCCCCTGTTGTCACCCGACACATCTCCAGCTTGCAACTGTTCTCCCTAATGGGCAGTGAAGACACAAGCTGCGGGGCTAAAGAACGGGCATCGCACACTTGTGTGTTTGACAACCTTGTCCTTGCACAGAACGCGACTCTCACGTCAGCTACACACTCCGATTTCAAAGCATTTTAATCCCACAGTCTGATCTCCCTCCCGCAGCCTGCATTCCCAGCTTTCTGCACTGAATGCAGGACTTCCTGAAAAGGAAACTTGTTTCTTATTTTTCTCCCCTTCCGCTGAACGTTTCCAGGGTTTTGGTTTCTTGCGCCAAGCCTGGGATATCGACAAGTACATACAAGTCACCCGCTCTCTACTGACGTTTATTGCATGGCTTTCGACAAGTCACTACAAAATTATAAACGCTTAAGCTTTATTTCCTCTCTGCGTGGCAGGGAGTCCCCGACAGGGAGCCATGCTGTGTGAACGGATACAGGGTGGCTGTGAATTCCACAGAGGTTTTTAGTAACACGGCTCACTGTTGATCACACCAGCTGAAAGCAGCCCTGGCGAAGGGTGAAGACGTGTTACTATCAATGTATCCTATTTGTATGAGTGCATGGTGGAGAAACACTCTACAGAGGGAGAGAGAATACACCTGTGCACAAAAAGCTTAGAGGAGCAAATAAATAAATAATTCTGTGAAATTGCCTTAAATCTGTGATCTCTTAGAGGAGTAAAGACTTTTAAGAACAGAGTAGCTGGAGGGGAAATCCGTGAAACTTTACTATTAATGACTGCAACGGGATGCAGATGAGAAGGGGAGCCAACACATGTGACCAGTGTTCTCTCTAAGCTGAGTTAGTGTGAGCAAGCTCACAGTTTTTTAGCCTCCGGCTCACACATTTTTGTTTTGGCTCAGGAAGGATGGCTCCAGAGCAAACTAATTTATGCAGTAGCCAAATGGCTCGCTCACAACCTTAATGCCCCAGTAGCTCACAAAGTAGAATTGTTGCTCACAAGACTCCACAGCTTAGAGGGAGCATTGCATGTC